AATTTTATGTATAATAACTTTTTTATAATCATAAATATATTTTTTATAATTTTAAATTAAAAAAACAATTTAAAAAAAAAGGCCGAGGCCCTGAGGGCCGGCCCTTTAGCCCTGAGGGCTAGGGCCAAGCCTTATAAAATAAAACTCTGACATACAATCGGACTTATTAGGGCCAGCCTGTTTAGGCCCTGGCCCTTCAAGGGCCGGCCCTTTAAGGCCGGACTGACCCTAATTGACAGCTCTAGTTCAAACCTTAACTAAAAATATCAAATAACTATAAAATCCTTAAAACTTAGGTTTAGAAGTTAGATTTAACTCTCTAAGGCCCCAACTAAGCCAATAGATTTAGTCAAAATGCAGGGAAAATGAAATCAAGCCCCATATTATCTAAAACCATAGAGATTTTCACAAAAATGAGAAGGGAGAAGGAAAGGAAGCTTATCTGAGGATGATTCTTACTCAAAATACCTCTAAATTGCTCCCATAATAAATCCTTAATACCCACAAGCTCTCCTTTCGTCTCTACTCTTTCATTCTCTTTTTCTTCTCCTCTAAAATCAGATGTAACTCGTGTTTGATTTATTTCAGAAATAGGCCGTGCACCATAATGTATGCACATGGCATAGCAAAGCTATATGCCCATTTGGCCACCCACTGTAGCCCTATTGATTCGAACAAGATCCTAGCTCATTTCTAAAGCTGTCCAAAGGTCCAAAAATCTTATTACAATCCTAAAAAAACATCATTAATTTGTAACTCTCTTAATTTGACAAGTTTAGCCTTCTTAATACTTAAAAATTCAAGGTTCAAAATATAGGATATTAAACATTGAGCCTATTATTTCTTTCATCATGTACAAGAACCATGTCTAATCTTTAAGCGTCTCCTTTCACAATGGCATAAACAAAGGGAAACAACTCATTATCAATGTCATACATAAATGCTAATAGCAAGGTCCTCTTATAAGGACCACTTAGATAACTACCATCTATGTATAGTGTGTGTCTTGCACTATGGATAAACCCTTCTATAAAATAGCCATCAGCTATAAAGATCCACTCAAACCTATTATTGTTAGCTACCACCCACTTAGCAACTATTTTTAGGTTTGTTTCCATTAACCAATCACAAATTTATGGAATTAACATATAAGATTGGTTGAGTCTATCATGGATCTCTTTTTACGCCTTCCCTTTGGCTCTGTATGCTTGTTAGTATGTCAGATTGACACTATATCCTATTTGCAACTATCTTCTAATGTCATTAGGACACTTGTCTATATGAGACCTTATATCCTTAATTATAATAGATGATGTTAGACCTGAACTTCCTTTATAATTAACCATCAGACTATCTTGTGCATAATTCATGTGTTCATTTTTAAACGTCTTTACACAGAAATAAAGTTTCCTTTCCCACTACATATGCTGTGATCTTCCAAGGGTAACCTTCAATGTCACATATCACTCTTATCTTCTTTGTACTATTGTTCTTATATTTGTATAAAAACTTGTGGACAATGCTATATTTATACAATACTTTTCCAAAAGCATAGGGAAAGGTTTGCCCTACACTTGGGAATAAATCCCTTCACTTAGAAGAATTAAGCTCTAGCATTAGTATAGGTGCACTTTGTACTTCACATGATAATGTTAGAAGTTCTCTAGAAGTTTGGCAAGTTAGACATTCTCCACCGCTTTCAAAGGCTACAAGTTCAAAATCATGATCTTGCATGGCAAGAGAATTGCTTCATCCTACATTCACAATCCATCAAACTTTATGTGTCATTTACATTTACATTGACAATCACAACTTTAGTTACTAAAATAACAACTATCTTATAGCAAATGACAACTTTGTTTAGAGGAATTAACTTAGTAACTTACACTCGTGCTTCCTTAATTGTTGCTTTTCCAGTGTCATTTCCTTTACAACCTATATACACATGACTGTTTCCAACATTATACTCAAATAGGATAGCAATTCCATCATTATTAACAAGGTTTGTAAGGGTCCTTTCATTGAAGCTCACAAATGTATTTCATGTCACTAAAATTAATGTCAATGCCAAAACAGGATGATGTCATTATTCTCAATTCTTCAAGTGTCATCCCTTCTCTAATCATTTTTACCCTCACACTTCCCCCCATCATATTATATTTTACCTTCAACATTTTTTACAATTTGTCCCCCTATATGAAAATAACAAAATTGTTCTTTTCCAAAACTAGAAGTAGAAGAAGAAGCCATTTCTCATGCCACCTTGCAATAATGAAATAGCCATTTATCAACATGTCTATTTTTTAAACTTTATGATCATATATCTATTATGTTTTATCCAACAACAACTATTTTTCTTATATTTGTAACTTTATATTAGTTATTCACAACTTTAGTTTATGTATTTACAACACAACTAAAAATGATATATCATTTATCATTTATCCATATAGAGTCAGCAACCATACCCACATTATTTAGTCTTATGCATGAAGAGAAAATGAAGACCTCAATTATTTATGCATATCAACTTTAACTTCAACTTTTAAGGTCACCCACATCAACTTTTATTTTGACATATGAGAGGAGAAATTTAACCATGTACAGCAAAAGAAATTTCCTTTACCCTAATGCAAGCTAATAGAGGAAGAATGATAGCTTATATATCTTTGTCGTTACCCACGTAGCAGCTGAAAAAACATTAAGACAGAGAAGAAGCAGAAGCAGAAAAGCATGCCAATGAATCTATATTAAGGCTTAAGATTTTTATTTCAATCAAGAGTAATTTAATCATTTATATTAATTTTTTAATGATAAAAAAGTCTCTAAAGACTTTAAAGAATTATGATATTTTGTGAGATCAAAAATGTCATTTATGTAAGTCAAGAAGATTTTACTATCATTTTTCCTAATTGTATTTCCTATATAATATTAAGAAAAAACAAAAACTTGAAAAGTTACGCACCTTGTTTCCTCCGCTATTCGGAATAAGGGAGGCAAGAAGCTTAAAATAAAATACTAATATGGATGTTGTTTGTTTGCTTACTCATTAGCATTGTGTGCTCAAATGCCTGTCACTCTATCTTGGCCAGGGCACTGAAAATTGAAAAATGACTTTCCTCTTGATGTTTATTGTCTATGTCCTCTTCTGTTGAACCATAACTCTAAGTTAAAATATTATCTCGAATATCATTAAGTTTCTCTTTCTTTCAGAGAGCCCAAAAATTCTCGAGGAATGATGAAAATCCATACATGATGTATCATATGGTAGAGGAAGAGAGAAAAGTCACAATCATGTAATATTTAAGTTTAACCTTGAAAATACGAAGAAAAGAAAGTTCTGATGAAAAAAAAAAAAGACAAATCTTTAAAAAATTCTCATCTAAGGTCTAAACGTTAACCAATATCTTACCAAAACTAAATGTTTTAAAATTGGCTTCTTGTTCCTTTTCCACAAAATCCGATTCTACCACCTGCTGCCTAATACTCTAGATTTTAGTCGTATGGATGGAGCTATTACCGTCAAGTATAGCAGCAGAGTGTTCATATGGTGACAGGGGTCGCCACGAGTTTAGACCAGGCCGATTACTTTTGTTATCATTTCTTTTAATTGGCTCTATCATGCTCTAACCTAATCCAATTCCAGACTATACCAATATACGGTTCTGGGGCTCCTCAGACCCAGTGGTGGTGTTAGAACTTTAGATTGTGAGGTGCAACATTTTTAAAATTAATAACTTAAAATAACTAAAAAAATTTTAAACTCAAAATCTTTGAAATTAGGCTAAAGGGTGCAAAATATTTGAACTAAAGAGTATAATATATTAAAATATATGAACTTTTTTTTATAATTTTCTTCAAACTAAACGGTGCATTTGCCCCTTTCCTTACAACGTAGCGCCTCCCATGCTCAGACCAATAAACACCTTTAAATTGCTGGCAAAAAAAAAAAAAAAGAGCCCTTAAATTATTTTTGAGAGTTGGAACAGAGCACACGAGACGAGGTTAGCTGGCAAATCTTTGTCCGTGTCTTTTGCGTAATTCAAACGTGGCTCCCACTCTCCGGTTTAGATGATCAAGTTGAATCTCAGTCGTGTTCCCAATTTTGCCTCCGTTTTATTAAATTTTCTTCCTAGCATTCTCTTCCCGAATGTCGCGTTTTGATTACTGATATTTTATATACCACTCGACTCAAGACCGCTCGTGCTTTTCCTCGTGTGGCGTACCAATCAGAGATACATGGAAAGGGAGACGCCAGCCTGCAGTAGGGACCGGGAGTGGGTCTTAGTTGTCTTCACTTTTAATTATTAAATAACAATATTAAATGTTGGTAATTGTTAATTATTAGTTAATCAATTGAACTGAGGAGAGTCGGGAGGGGCATTCAGGCAGTCTTGAACCGTACTGTATCCAAATCATCAACATATTTATCCACCTGCTCTCTCTCTCTTTCTCTCTCTCTCTCTATCTCTTGTTCCGCTTGTCGGAGCCACCCCTTCTTCCCATTCACTTGCCTGCTTCCACCTCACTTGTCGTCCTTTCCCTCCAGCTTCTCCAAAATTAGGTTTTCCTTCTTCACTTTTTCTATTCTGCATTTCTCTCCTCTTTTCTCCCAATTCTATTCTCTGTTTTATAATCTCTTTCCTTCCACTCAGCTCACTGCTTCAAATCAAACTATTCAGGCCTTGCTTGGCTCTTGTCTGCCCCACTTTCTTCTTATTGCTGATGGACTTTTGCGATACTTGTTCAGCTAAAGTTAGTGTTTTTTCTTATTTCAGGCTTCACTTGTCATATTAATTCTCCCCTTGAAGTTCACAAGTTCGTGGCTTTGAAGCAATAATAATACATGGGGAACTGCATGGCTCGGGTGAGAATGTTTTGATATTTTAATCAGAATCTCGATACTTGTGCTCATTCTATGTTTAAGGCGTAAGGACTCTCCTGCTCTCTTCACATGCTACTATAAACTGTCATCTCCAATCAATTGCATTCTCTTGCAGGATATGGAGAAAAATAATCTCCGTAGCTGCAAAATCTTTTAGCACTGAGACTAAGACTGAGCTTGCCTGTAGCTTTCAATGGACACTTTTTGGCTATATTTAACGAGTTTTCAATTACTGGGGTTCATGAGAATGGCATTATGAAACCCTTCTGTTTTTGTACTCTTTCACTGTTCCTCTTCCTTTTCTGTCGATAGAATTTTAGTGCCTCAACCACAGTCCGAGGTGATCTCGTACGTCTGCAACCTGCCTATGTAAATTGCACCGTAAGTAATAAGTGTCAAATGTATTGGAAAAGGGGAGTAAAGGAGCAGAATGGAGAAATGGATGTAACAGGATGTAGCATCGAATAGAATCCATGCAAGAGAAGGTAACGGGTTATTATTATAGGCATGCTCAATAATGGAAGGGAGTTTCTAGCTTTAAATAGTGGTATTAGTCAGGTAGTCAGGTTCTATTTTCTTCCTCTTCAGATGATGTTAGAAACGCGGAGAACGTAAAAACTAAAATTGCTTTATTTTCCAAACGCATGGAAAATATGATGTTTTACACTGAATGCAACTCTTGTATAGGTGCAAGTAAACCAATGCTCTTCACTTTTCTATAATTGGCATCTATTCTGATAATGTTGAAATCTAAGTAATAATAGCCCGTTGGACATAACTCAATAAGATAGGTAGATGCTTGGTGATTGTGAGAAAGGGATCTGAATGATACAAAGTGTTTTAACTGTAACGTGGATGTTTATTCTTCTGTCAGCCTACTAGCTTCATGAGTCCTGACCTTTTGTTTCCTCCTTGCTACTGGCTTTCAATGTGAAAGAAAGGAAGAGAGTTTCTGTGTATGGTTTTTCCTTAATGGTTTCAACATTTTATACTGCATTAGTCTACTTCATTTATTGACATATCATATATGAAAGAGAAGTTTCATTCTTTGATTGCTTGTAGTCTTCAACCAAGGATAACTATTCTGATCATCATGTGGATTTTGCTGCTGGGAATGTACAACTTATTACTTCCAAAGAATCTTGGGATCTGAAGATGGAAGAAGCAAGAAAAGATGGCAAAATTGTAAGATTTTCATCTTACATGGTTTGGGAGTATATTAATACCCATTGTTTTTCACTAATGCTTATAGCCTTGGCAACATTTCAGAAGCCCTATAAAAATACACATTTTTTAATATACCATATTTTGACCTTGGTTAGTGCTGATTAGAATATTCTACATACTCTATTTTTCAAAACCTAGTACTGTCTCATATTTTGACTGTCATCAAGCTTGGTGTTCAACATCAACATCATATCTTATCAATATGAGTCTTAGTTCTTTTCAGTAGCACATATCCTAACGTAAAGTTTTGTGTGTCCTATTCAGAATCATATGTGGTAACTATATCTAACCATTTAATGTGACAAGAAATTTAGACGTATTTTTCATGTTATTGGAAGATAGAAATATCAAATATGAGCTGATATTTTCAAAATTGGCTGAGTCATGCTCTGGTAGATTCTTCTTGGGTCTGCAGGAAAGCTTTTTAAAGCACAAACAGATTTCCTTGATCTAGCATGTTTTTAGTCTGACTAATCTATACTGAATTGCTGATGTCAAATTGACTGACAACTAGTTTTATCATATTGTCTTTGGGAAGATAACTATCTTAATGACACGGGTTTGATGTGGCTATTTCTGACATGCTTCCTCCAAAATATTCTGTGCCGATATTAATTTGCTTAGTTGGAAGTTTATCTACTCTTAATCTCTTGCTCTCACACACACTAGAGCATGCACGCATAAACTCTAAATTCAAGCCCTCATGTTTTTTTCTATGATGGTTTAAATGCTTGCTGATAGTTCAGAAGATTGTTTTTATACTTCATGTTATTCCTTATTATGATTTCTTTTCAACTGGAGTTGTATGTTCAACAGGTGATTGCAAACTTCAGTGCATCATGGTGTGGCCCTTGTAAGATGATTGCACCTTATGTCTGTGAGTTATCAGAGAAATACCCGTCAATCATATTCTTAGTAATTGACGTTGATGAACTCACTGTAAGTAGTGAAGCTATAAATGTTATCACTTCATACCATGATTTTGTGATATAATTTAGTAGTGACGCATGTGTTTTTAACTAGTACTCTGTACTCCCCCTTGAAAGCGGATGTAGAATTCTTCGTTCAGGAAATGTATTAATCATTTCATCAATAAACATACATACTAGATACATGCATAACGTCAAATCAAAGATGAAACTTTATTTGATGATATTTGAGTTTTCTCTTGATTAGAAATGTAATCTTTAACATGTCCCTTTACTGCAAAGCTCTTTAGGTTTGGAAATGTAAACAAAACTTAGGCCCACCATTCCTAAAGCTCAAAACTATTTTTAATCAAGAGAATGAGGATCGCAGAGATCAAATTTTTGTGTATTTATGACTAGTTTTTTCTTTGTGATCTTTAAGTCATGGGGAATGTATAATGATTCTGTATGTTTTAGGACTTTAGCACTTCCTGGGATATCAAAGCCACTCCAACTTTCTTCTTTCTCAGAGATGGGAATCAGATTGACAAACTGGTAGGAGCCAACAAGACTGAGCTGCTGAAGAAAATTGTTGCCATTACTGACTCAATTGTTGAGCGTCAATAAGGACTTGTTTCCAACGGCAAGAAGCTGTGGTTCTCCTTTATCAACTCTGTATACTGTTCTTGTTTTGCGTTCTGGATGTAAATATTGGATTTCGCAACGATGTCATTCATTCAAATTGGCGTCACCATGTTCTAGCAAGTCTGTTTTGGAAATATATAAAAAGTTGCCTTGTTTAAATGTTTCCGAGCGTTTGTTTGATCTTTTCGTGCAAGGTAGAGGATGAAATTGTGCAATTCGGATCAATCTGATCATTTCCAACATTTACACGAGTGAATAACGCACAAAGGATATTAAAAAAAGAAATAGAAAGAATAGGAGAATAAATGTAAAAATTGAAACTTATGTTCCGCACAATATTTTGTACTATTATTTAGATTCAAGTTAAAAGTTGTGTTTGATCATCGCAATCTTGTCTAGCTTCGATATAAAATATAAGGGTGATAACAAGCTACAGTATACGCAAGACATTTCTGTGTAATGCGCAGGGATAACGTGCTCAATTGAAAAAGCAAATGGGTTGAAGAATGGAAAAGGTAGAGAGGGCGTAACTGAAATTGGAAAATAGACGCATGATATGCTTCATACTTCATACTTCATAAAATACGAAATTAGGAAAAGGAAACATCATCTGCAAAATATGATAGCCATTTATCTTTCATACTTCATATAATATATATCATGCTCATATATATGCATATACCTCTTTACCCAAGAGGCCATGGATGATGAGAATATTCCAGTAGATCAACTTAACTTGATGTAATCTCTTTGGACATTGAATACACTCCTTTCAGTCAAATACATACATACATACATATACATATATATATATAGTTCCAAAACAAGTAGGTGTCAAGATCAGAAGATGGAAGCAGTGACAAGTAGGCAAGGCTACACTGAGCTTAATCAAGGAACGGCGGATAACGAAAGAACTATTGTTGACTTTAGAGGCAGCGGCTATTTCTTTCGTCCAAGACAAACAGTGATACAAAAGCTTCACAATCACAAAAGACATTTCTCCATATACTTACCTGAGAATTCAGATCCACCGCTTGCTTTCTTCTTCTTCTACTTTTCTTTCTCATCAGCTCAAAACCAACCTCCCCGCAGGGTCTTCTCATACAAGATATGGGTTCACACATTCACAGGTATGAATTATATACACACGAACTCGTATGTGGTCCTCCTTTTTTCTCCTTGATGGAGGACAAATCTTAATTGTTGATAGAGACATCGCAACTAATACTGCCTGTACGAACTATTAGCGATTTCCTGAACTACAGTCTGTTTTTGTGCAACACAATCAATCTGACGTACCTTGGCAGTCACAAGCTTGCAACTTTACTCCTACCCTTCATCTCTATTTAATTTTGCTTAGCAATGGAAGAGAAGGCAATTTAAAGCTTTTTTTTTCTTCGCTTTAAAGATTGAATATTAGAAACGTGATCTCTTCTTTCACACTACTCTTCTGAGGACAAGACCACATATCTATATAATGTGGTTCAAAAGGGTCTGGACACCCTGGCACGATGATCAGCTATATGGATCCCCACAAGAGACTCGGATTATTACGCACCATTTCTTTCATCCTTTTTCTGATTCTTACTAAAGATTTAAGCTGCTCTGCGTTCGGTGACAGCGAACACGACAAATGGAGCATCGTTAAGGACGAGCATGAAGAAGCCAACAATCATATAGCTGATCCTGTCTCAACTTATGTGTATGTTCACTATACACAAAAGCTCCCCCCCCCCTTTTTTTTGTTATTATTTTTTAATTTCGTTGTAATCGTATGAATTTTGCTTCTATTTTCAAAGCTTAGCAGAAAAGGTAATTGTATAACTTATTCTTGAGTTTTTTTAACTTTGCACAAACATTCCTTTTTATTTTTAAAATCTACGCAACCTGGCTTTTAAAAATGAATAGTAAAAATTACACAAGCATCTTCTGAATTTTATTAAAATAAAATTACCTAGACGCCCTTTCCATAATTGGAGAAGATTTGCATATATTTTTAAAGTTAAAGAGAGCGGCATATAATTTTAACAAAATTGAAGAGAATTTTGGGTGGTTTAATCTTTATTTTATAAGAAACTTCGCAAAATTCGGAGAGTGATATTAGTTTTAAAAATAGGAGGGTGATGTAATTTTTTGACAAAATTATGGAGAAGTAAGTATATTGATTAAGTTTTTCATTGTTCATATCAGGAGTGAAATGGAGGACGTGGAAGAAGAGTGGGAGATGGTACAGAAGAAAGGGAACCAGTTTGTGGTGAATGATAAGCCATTTTATGTGAATGGGTTTAACACTTACTGGCTGATGGTGTTTGCAGCAGATGAGTCCACCAGAGGAAAAGTCAGTGAAGTGTTCAAGCAAGCAGCCTCAGTGGGCATGACAGTTTGTAGGTCTTGGGCTTTCAATGATGGCCAATGGAGAGCCCTTCAGAAATCCCCATCAGTTTATGATGAACAAGTCTTCAAGGTTCTGTTTCCTTGTTATCCCCTGTTTTTCTCACATCACTAATTCATCAAATGATTTTAATTCTCATTGACAGGCCTTGGACTTTGTGGTAAGTGAAGCGAGGAAATACAAAATAAGGCTCCTATTATCATTGACTAATAACTGGGAGGCATATGGTGGCAAAGCACAGTATGTGAAATGGGGTAAAGCTGCTGGCCTTAATTTGACCTCTGATGATGACTTCTTCTCCCATCCCACTCTTAGAAGCTACTACAAGACCCATGTCAAGGCAAGTTTCTTAGATGCACAACATACACAGCTCACCTCAATTCCTTCAGATTATTTTGTCTGAGACGCTTTTTTTCCTGTTTCACTTTGTAGACCGTGTTGAATAGGGTTAATACATTCACAAACATCACTTACAAGAATGACCCCACAATTTTCGCTTGGGAACTCATGAATGAGCCTCGATGCACTTCAGATCCTACAGGCGATAAATTACAGGTTCTGTCCCTCGTGTATTTCTTTAGTTCATATACAGTTCTTTGTAAGCGTTTAATACATTGTTATTTTATATATCTCGGCGTCTTTGGATCAAAGACGACATCATGACATTGACAGCATTGGAAAGACCACCTATGATTTCACGAACTGAACTGAGCTGTGTCTGTATTAGGATTGGATACAAGACATGGCGGTGTACGTGAAGAGCATTGACCCAAAGCACCTTGTGGAGATTGGATTAGAAGGATTTTATGGCCCTTCAACTCCTCAGAGAGTTCAGTTCAATCCAAACACATATGCTCAGCAAGTTGGAACAGATTTTATCAGAAACCACCAAGTTCTTGGTGTTGACTTCGCTTCTGTTCACATATATCCAGATTCTTGGTAACTATAGTCAACGGTTATATTTTTCAGTTGTAAACTTTCAAGTAAATGACCGCGTAAAGTTAAATCATAATCTCTGATAGACCACCTCACATAAAGGTTTGTTGGGTTGAACTCTGATGCTTTGGTGACTGTCAAGAATGACTTCAACTAGAAAGTCCGAGCTTTGCACTAAAAATCAACAAATAGTCTTGTTAAAATCTCTTAACATGTAGATTCTTGAAACACCTGTGCTATCCATTCTTTTCTGTCACCATTCTTGGATTTTTCTACATGGCATCTCTGATGAAGAATTATTGACCTGGATGAAGGATTTCTCAAGCAATTTCTGAAACGCATCTCCCATTCGTAACATCTTGGATGGAAGCCCACATAGAAGATGCTGAAAAGTATCTTGGAATGCCTGTGGTTTTTGCTGAGTTTGGAGTGTCTGCAAAAGATCCTGGCTACAATTCAACTTACAGAGACAACCTTATAAACGCAGTGTACAAGACAATCTTAAATTCCACGAGGAAAGGAGGGAGTGGAGCCGGAAGCCTGCTATGGCAGGTGTTTCCTGATGGAACAGATTATATGGATGACGGGTATGCAATTGTGCTTTCAAAGTCTGCTTCCACCTCAAGCATTATATCCCTTCAATCCACAAGGCTTGCCCTGTTCAACTCCAGGTGTTCTTGGAAATGCCACTGGGGTTGTAAGAAGAAAAGAGCACTGGAAGAAATAATCTATCATGATGAACTCTGAAGCAATATCCGCCAGGCTGTCTGTTTATGATGGATGCAAGAGTATCAGCATCAGTTTGAAATATGAAACGAAGGGATAAATATCAGGATATGCTGTATCATTCTGCGTGCATCAACGTCAATACTGTATTGATCTTGCAAGTTGTGATGTTCTGATTATGCAGCTCATTTCATCTACATTTCTTCCTCACTCTTTTACCGTCTAGGCGTGGAAAATAAACACTAATGTCTGAAATAAATGTTCTTTTATCTGAATCAACAACTGAAGGAAGCTAAGACAAAATTTCAACAAACCTGACATTTCAACAATTAAATATACGGACAAGAAAATATTTTTTGCTATTTTCTTTAACCTTTTCAATCACGAAAATATGGTGAAGTTCATACTCATCCTATCAAGTTGCGTTTATAAGTTATTCCCAGTAATTAATTATTGTTATGATTACAAACAAATTCATGATACTTAATCCAATATTAGTGACTAAATTCATCATGTTGAATAAATTCAATAATTTAACTCCACTAACCTTGATAATTTAAAACAGCGAGGGTAGCCAATCAATTCATACATGTTACATTTACAAGTTTTGAGAAAAAAAGAAAAATATATAAAGTGTGAAAAATATATATCATGCACTATCAGTATCACACTTCTTTGTATATTACTTTTTTACCTTCGTAATTTATGGTTGCATCATTATTAAAAAAAATCTAAATCACTAATCTTAAGCCTAAAATGTTCGGAAATCTAGCATAATGGACCCATGATATAACTTTTTTTTTTTTTTGGGATAAATACTGGAACCATGAATTAACTACCAAACACGAGTACAACCGTACAAGCAGACTCCTTCCATGTGTGTACTAGTTTTTACTTTCCTTTTCCTTTTCTTTTTAATTTTCATAGATGGGCGCTTTTAATTAAAAGAAGAAGAAAGAAATAAAGAAATAAAGAAAGTAGTAGCCGTTAGCGCCTGTCTGGTTTTAAATTCAAAATCCATTGCTACTCCTCCCATATGTATTGAGCGTATGTTCTCACAAAAGTGGAAACTGATAAAGGGAAAAAGAAAAGCCTAATAGAACAAGAAGAAGAAGAAGAAGCTGCGTGATGCAAAGATCGCAAATGGTTCAGACTCCCATGACCGGAGCTCCCAAGTTGCGACCCAGATCTGGTCGAACGCCGCTTCAGCCCAAGAATTCTCCCGCCAAACTCATCCTCGATCCTGTCACACCCCCCAAATCCAAGCAAAAACCGATCGAAATCTCTGTGATGAAGTGTGATTCCAATAAAGAGAATCTTGATCCCATGAAGCTGGAGCCGCTGGATGCGTCGCTTGCTGAGGAACTCAGTGCAATCAAGAAGAAGCTCGAAAGGCTAAGATCCGACAAAGAGAGCACCGAGAGAATGTTGAATGAGAGGGGTTCAGTGTTAGATGGTTACCTGAAGGAGATGGAACTGAGAGGGCAGTTTCAGAAGTGCCTTGAGATGGAGGTTGATCGATTGTTCCGATTGAAGGAGCTTAAGTCTCGCTGTATGGTACGTATACTAGTTAAACTATAGAAGTACGATTTGGTTTCAATTTGATCGATAGCGCTATGATTTACAGGCTTCTGTTTTCTTTTAATTGAAACAGAGGGTTTCTCCAATTAAATCTTTGAGAGATAAGGAACAAGAAAAGACGATTAACGACTCGCCGTCGGAGGTAAAGATTGAGGATATGGTAGAGTCAGGGGAGGAATCTGAGTTGCAAAGTCCAGGATCATCATCGTCCCGAGTTGATATGCAAAAAATCTGATCATGATTCGGGCACTTCCATGAATGAGTTTCAAGGTTAAAACAATGTGTGGGGAAGTCTCGATTCAATACATAATGCCTCGTTATGAATGAGTATACATTTTCTACTCCCATCTCTAATTTTCAATTAATTGTACTGCCAGCAAGAGATGGAAGAAGGAGGGGGGATGGGAGTGATATTTTACCACATCATTATTATATAAAGGATATGGCTTTTCTATTATCTCAAAAACTTCATTAGCACCGTCATATTATGCATCACAGACACATCATGCTGTAAGATTTTGTCTCTCTCTCTCTCTCTCTGCATATATCACTATATTAATCATACTATTAACTGACATAAGAAGTAAGCTTGCTTTTATTTCCTGGGGAAGAACAATTTGATTTGCCAATAAGGATTTAAGTTTGTAAATTCTAAAATAGGATTTAAAGGGCTATACTCAATGCGAAGTCGGTTATTGGACAAATTCTTGCTGATGGACAACCTATCTAATATAGTGACATAAATCTTTAATTTGTGACATGGGAGGAGGTGTTTCGCGCAGGGGTTCAAATATGAATAACAGACTTCAAAATCCTCCCATGAATCTCTTCAACAGGAGTGTTGTAAAAGAAATAGGGAGACGTGTAATTGAGGTCCAGAAATTACTCTAGATTGACTCATATGTAGGTTAACCTTTTTTGTGATTGGGAGGAGGTGTTTCGCAGGGGTAAGTATCAGTAACAGACTCCAAAATCCTCCCATGAATCTTTTCAACAGGAGTGTTGTGAAAGAAATAGGGAGACATGTAAGTGAGGTCCAGAAAATGATCTAGATAGATTCATTTGTAGAAGGTTTTTCTGGTATGATGCAGAGAGGTGGGCCAGCGAACCCTACCAGGGTTGTCGGAGAATCCCATTTTCTGCTTTACTTGCGATACAGGACAAGAATCGTATGAGGCTTTTGGACCAATGTTGTTGCGCAAGTGGATAAAGCCATAAAGGAGAGTAGTCGCATCTCCATTCACCAAAGAAACACTCTTACAAGCCTTTGATCCAACAATCAACAATGGTAAGGTGATCAAGCATGCAACCGTCGTACAATGAAGTCTCTACTCTGTACCCAAATGTAATGATCATTATTATTAAAATGGCCCCTTCACTGCTCAGTCCTCATATGACATGGGTTCATTCTTTTTTTCCCTTTCCCATTTGTTTGTATCAGCCAGCGCGGTTCTTGATTGTTTTTTAATATCATGACATGGGCAACTTGCAAGTTGGAAGAGAAGTCATCACTTAACTCCCTTGGACCAATAATTCACCACATCTGCCTGGATGTGCACCTACTTTTCATATAGGAATGGGATTTAATGGAACAAAACAACAAGACAATTATGTTTGGCATGATATTAAAAAAAAAACAATGATGCTGCATAATGCATATAGCCAACCCTACCTACTTAATGGGATAAGGTTTCTGTTGTTGTGTCATATTGTAGAATTTAGGAAAATCACAGTGAAGGACCTTCGGAGAATTTTATTTACCGAGAAGGACCAAATGATTTTGAAATCATGCTGCATGACCAAGGAACCAAAACGTAATTAATTTTTAGTGTGACGATAAAAATGCCCCTATTTTTTTTTTAAATCTCCTCAATAACCGGCTATTGGAGCTCTAGCGTTGTTGTTTAGACTGCCCTACAGCACAGGCCATAGGAGCTCAAGCGGCGGTGGCAAGACCGCCAGTCGGAGCTCTAGTGTTGGTCACCAAACTGATGAAGGAGACAAATTATTTTTTTTTTAATGTGGCCAAGGTGGGATTTGAACCTATATCCTCTTAGCTTCCAAAAAAATAATTAGCCACTAGGCTAACAATTCTCTTCAATTATATAATGCAAAAAAAAAAATATATATATATATATATATATATAACTTTGTTTTTGCTTTCCATGCTAATATTTACTAAAAGCTCAATGGTTAGTTATCATTTTACAAATGGCTACTTGTTGAATTATGAACTAGACTTGTTAAAAAATTTAATTTACATTGGTTTTTATAAATGCTTACTTGTTTTTATTACCAAGAATGACAAGTCCCCATTAGCAAGTAAGCATTAATAAAATAATTCTCTGACGCCTCTATCGTTTCCTCAACTCTCTCTTCTATTTTATGACGCACACAACTATTTGATATATTCAAATTTTCGTGCATCCAATGCGGCATATGGTGTGTCTTTCACAGCACATGGCACAGAATGGCTCAACATGGTTTTTAAGCCTCCTTCTGTGCCTCGGTCCACCCAAACTCTAACTTAGCCCTCTTTTAAAGCTGGTCAATGATATAATAACTATATTAATCATCCAAAAACATTACTAATTCATAAATCTCTTATTTTGATCAATTTACCCTTCTTAAATACTTAAAAATTTTGAAGTTGAAAGATTAGGATATTACAATTTTTTCCTCCTTTTAGGAATTTTGTCCTTGGTTTCCCAAGACGCATCACTGAGAGTCATGTTCTTCCAAAAGATTTTAACCAAATGAATGCTCTTATTTCTCAATTATTGGTCGTTTACATTTACAATCTGCTTTGGTTCAGCTCTATATATTAAATTCTCTTAAAGTTCCACATCTTCCGACCCAATAACATGAGTAGGATTCAGTTGATACTTCTTCAGCTGACTCATAAAAAACATCATGAACGCCCGATAAATGAGGCGGCAAGACAATCTAATAGGCCGCAGGTCTCAATTTCTCCAAAATCTTAAGGGGACCAATAAACCTAAGAGTTAACTTCTTGGCTTTTATTGATCTCCCAATACTAGTCATCGGTGTGACTCTCAGGAATACATAATCATCTATCAAGAATTCCAACAACCTTCTATATCTATCGATGCAGTTCTTTGGCCTACTTTGAGTTGTCAACAACTTTTCCTTAATCATTTAAATCTTTTAAATGGTTTAATCAACCAAAATTCAGACCCAATAAACTTCTCTTACTCAATTCCATTCAACATAGAGGCGATCGACATCTTCTCCCATACAAAGCCTCATATGGAACCATCTTAATGCTAAAGTGGTAACTGTTGTTGTAGGCAAATTCCGCCAATGGTTGATAAGTGTCCCAACTACCCCTCAATTTTATATCATAGGCTCGCAACATATCCTCTAACGTCTGGGTAGTTCTTTCAATTTGGCTATCCGTCTGTGAATGATAGACCATACTAATCCTCAATCTGGTTCTTATTACTCTCGGCAATGTTATCCAGAAGTTCAATGTGAACCTCGAATCACGACCATAAATAATGTCCTTCAGCATTCTATGAAGTCTCATGATCTCATTCACATAAACTTTAGTATATTTCTCAAGTGAATAAGTCATCTTTACTATTAGAAAATGTGCTGACTTGGTCAAACGATCCATAATCACCCAAATAGCATCATAAAACTGACTGAATTCTAGGCAAACTAGTGATGAAATTAATGGATATGCTGTCCCATTTCTACTCAAGAATCCTAAGTGGTTACAACACACCACCCAACCTCTGGTGCTCAATCTTGACCTTTTGGCATATTAGGCATGGCCATATACTTTATCACATCCTTCTTTATTCCAGGCCAGCACCATATCTGCTTCATATCTTGATACATTTTAGTGGGACCAAGGTGAATTGTGTATTAACTATGGTGTGCTTCCTCTAGGATCATCTTCCTTATCTCCTCATTGCTTAGTACATAGATCCAGTCTTGATATATCACATAACTGTCATCATTAAATCTGAACTCTGTGGTTTGCCTCTCTTTAATGTCCTCATGGATTTTAAGGGTAACTTCATCCTCAAGTTAAGCAGCTCACAATTCCCTCTAGAACTCATTTATCACAACCGTAGAATGCATATTGCACAACGTCATCTAAGGCACATAATAAGAGATAATTGCATAGAATTGACAAATAAAGCAAAGTTCTTCATTACTTGAGACTTTAAAAGATCAAACTTCTTGTTAAAAGCTGACAAGATAGAGGCCAATTGAGTAGAAGAATCTTCCTTAGTACTTGCCTTTTGAAGAACCATGTGTCTCTCATCCCCTCTATGTGAATGACTCTCTGATAAAGTGTTCAAGACATTCATAACTTCATCAACAAGCCTTTGGTCATAACTCCCATTAAGAATGGAGGTCAACATAGAGTTAGATTGAGAATTAAGTCTTGTGCAAAAATTCTGAACAATGGCACAATTATCTATCCTATGACTTAGGCATGCTCTCATTATTTACTTGTATCTCTCCCACATAGTATATAAGTGCTCATTAAGTAGTTGCATGAAATTAATCAAATCACGCCTAGCATCAACAATCTTGTTGTTCGAAATAAAGCAACCTCAGAATTTCACTTCTAGATCGTCTCAATTGCTAATAGACCTTTCTAGTAAATTGAGTAGCCACTTTTTGGCTTTGCCTTTAATAGAGATTGGAAATAATCACAGTCTTAAAACATCCTTTAATACTCTGTTTTGCTTGAAGGAATCACACACATCTAAGAAAGACATGTGATGATTAGCATCTTGATATGGAGCACCACTAAACAGGTCAGCAATTTGAATCATGGTAATCATCATTGGCTTGATCTCAAAATTGTTTGCTCAAAATTCTGGCACTATAATGCTAGATTGAGTACTCTTCATGATTTTTCCAACAAAATCACAGATTGACCTATTATGATTTTCCTCAGCTATCTTTGTAACTACTGTTTCTTTATCCTTGTGAGATGAATTTAAAGGTGATGTTGCGTTAAAGAGTTCGTGGATACTTTTCATTCTTGTAGGTGTCTTTTTAGCCTTAGCTCTACATGGCATAAAGTATAGTCCTGCGAGCACAAAAGAGCAAGATCAACAATCTAATTGAGCAACAAACAAATACAATAAAATAAATTGCATAATCAAAAACTACTAAATGTCCTTTAATGCCAGCCTTGGCAATGGTACCAAAAACTTGATGCACACAATTATATAATGGATTATGCAAGTGTATGATTCATAAAATAGTAAGTGATAAATCAAAGTTGTTTCCACGAGGAATCAAATTAATTAATAATTAGGCAATAAAGTCCCCATTTTCATTTAAGTTGAGCAAGGCAAGATTTGGATTTGAATTTGCAAAATAAAGATTGAAATTAGAAAAATGCACTAAAATAAAAATTTCAATAACCACAAATAATTAAGACAACCTAAGGTGGTTAATCCCTTCTTCAATTCATATAGCATGTAATTACCCAAATAAATTCACTTAACATTAATTTGCTAATCTAAAGTATTAATAAGAATAATTATCTTCCAATTAATTACACCCCTCTCTTGAATTAAAATGTTATTCCTAACACAATTACCTAAGAGATAAAAAGGCATAAACTCACTCTAATTTGATTATATGAGTTCAATAGGTATATTCCTATCCTATTGACAAATTAGAATAAACTCTAATCGCATATTACTTAATCTAATAGTCTAATTCAAATTTTCTTCTTTCAAGGCAAAACTTAAACCTCTAAATTCACACTCAATGGTGGCCAAGTATTAAATAGACAAATAAGTACAAGATTAAGTAAACAAAACTAATATTAAGTTCAAATAAATGGTTTAAACATGCTTTAATCTAAGAATTAGTTCATAGCTACTCTAAATTAAGAGAAAATTAGCCACACATGGCTTCCATGATAGAAAAATCGACAATATATATAGCAAAGTAAAGAGAAAAAGGAAAAGAAAAGCTTAATTGGAGCAATCTTAAGCAAAATCCTTAATTTTTTACCAAATCCAAGCTTCTCCAGCCCTCCTTTAGCTCCTTTTACTCTCCATAAACGTTCTGCAGTTGCTAGAGATGAAGAATGGTAGAAAATGAGGTGCACAAACCTTAAAATTTCATTGAAGATCAAATTGTGCGTTTTACTAAAATCACACTTCGCTGCGGTGAAATGCGTTTTCGTTATATCAAACATGACCTATCCAAATTTTCTTTTCAGATTTAATTCCTTTAACTTGGGCTCTAAAATTTTGATCTTTAGGCCCTTAAATTAGATCTCCTTACATGCATAAAACCCAAGTGTCTACTGATGTAACAATGCCCGATCAATATTTAATCTATAGATTAAATATTTAATCATCAATTCTCACTCTAATTAACCCCTTTTTAGTCTAATTTTAAGTACCTACTATACCTAAAATCCTATTTTAACACTATCAACACTTCCATCACACTTCATTAATTTCATTTAACACCCAACCACATAAATAACACCAATTCTTCACCCACATTGATCCAAACATCACAAATCTCACATAGAATTCCTTTAAACCCTAGCCAAAAATTTCAAATCGCTTCAAAATACTTTAAATTTAGGTTTAGAAGCTTGATTTAATTTTTTAAGTCCTTAACTAGACCAATAGGTTTGGTTATAACCTAAGAAAACCAAAATCAAACTTCACATTACCCAAAAACTATAGAAATTTTGCATAAATGAGAGGAAGAAGGAGAGGAAACTTACTCAACAATAATCAAGCTTTAAATGCTCCCAAAGTGACATTGGAGATCAATCCTAACAGCCTCAAGCTTAGTCTCCAACGCTTGTGTTTTCTAATACGCACGACTATATGATATATTCAAATTTTCGTGCATTTGCCAGGCTGCATGGCGCATCCATCATGGCGGATGGCACAGAATGGCTCAAGATGATTTTTGGCCCTTCTTCTATGCCCTGGTTCGCTTGAACTCTAATTTAGCCATCTTTTAAAATTATCCAATGTTCCAATAACTATATTAATCATTTAAAAATATCATTAATTCATAAATATTTTATTTTGATCAATTTACACTTTTAAGCACTTAAAAATTTTAAAATTAAAAACTTAAGATGTTACATCACTTTCTTTCAAATTCAAGCTTGGCCTTAGTAGAAGCGCATAATTGTGCACGCATTTAGATCCCTAAGGGAGCTCTATCATGCAAAGCAATGGGCTCGAGTGCAATGAGAATTTCGGAGAGTAGAAAAAGTGAACACAATTCATTTTTTCAAAACACTCCGTCCCACTTATTTGAGCAATATTGGACTGCTAATGGGTCGAGTGTTGTTCTTTTCTGGTTTGAGCTTTGGGTATCACCATAGTTGGGCCTGACGCTGTGATTTTGGATCAAGCAAAAATATTTTCGTAAATCTATAATTTCACTGAGAAGAGGAATATGGTTTTTTTTCCTCAAAAAAATGATTGAAAATGCTGAAGACATGGGCGCGGGGGCAATGTGTACTTGAGAATTTTATGACGATGATGCTGGTGTTACCAGTTTGAAAAGTGGAAATCTGATGGTTAGATGGAATCCATGTAGATATTTTGGTGGGGCGCATCGCTATTATCGTAGTCATGCTATGCACTGCATATCTCCCCCAGGCATCCTTATTCTTATCCGTGCCTTAGAAAAAAACGCATTATTCCAATTTAATAGTAGTACCTTTATTAAATAAATGCACCATTTAACCCTCACCCGCCAGTTGTCATGCTGGTACTCTTGTTGCCTCGCATTAATATTACTCTTAATTTAAAATATTTTTAGATAAAATTTATTACATATATTTTATAATTTTAACTTTTAAAGGTGTCTTCTAATTAATACTGCATCTATAAATATATTAAATAAAAATGATATAATAAAAAGAATAATATGTTAAAAATATTAATTAAATTTTATTATGTTAGAATATCTTATAATTAAAAAAAATTAAATTTTTTACTTCCTCCTTTTAAAAATGTAAGCCATTTTTAATTGAATCTCACTCTCAATAAAATAATTATTTATTTTTTAATTAATCCTATCTTTTCATATTTATTCCTATTAAACACCTTACAATAAATATAAAGTCATTATTAATAAGAGCACTTTAAAAAAAAGACAATAATTATATCTCGAATGACTAAAAATGATTAATATTTTTAAATATCCAACTTCTTAAAAAATATTTTATATTTTTTAATAGAAAGAGTATAAAAATATCTTACAATCTAAAATGTCGCAATAATTTGCTCTTTATTTACAAAATACATATTTATTATTTATTAAAATTTTATTTATTTAATGTTAACGTTTACATAAAGTATTAGTAATTTAAAAAAATAGAGAAAACTAATAAATTTTAAGAATTTCTTGGATTTCAGTGAGCGATGAGGACCAAAGAGTATCAATGCTGGTGATTTTGATAAAAGAAAAAAAATATTTTGGCCAAAAAAAGATAAAAAAAATATTTTATAAATTAGAAGAAAGTGAATATCATATAATAAACGCACGTTGCTCGCTTGCTACAGGGCGGATGACGTTAGCTTGCTACTGTAAGCACCATGACTTCACCTAGCCTTCGTCACGCACAAACCCAAGTGGCAAAACCTCATTCGTTGGTACACAACACGTAAAGCTGAGGCGCGTGTGGGAGGATTGGCTTGTCAAACATGTGGAACTTTCACAGCCGGCTTCCTTCGTTCCCCCGGGGAAGTAAGAAATGAATCCGCCTCAAATAAGAACACGCCTTCTCTCTATCTTCGCTCTGCCTTGCTCACACACTCTCTCTTTCTCTCACACACAGAAATGGAGAATCTTCTTTCGGATCGTGGAAAGGCAATCCAGGAACTGGAGAGAGGCCGCGAATTTGCTACCCAGCTTCGCCGGCTCATTCTCAACTCCAGCGGAGAAGGAGATGGCGAGGGAACGACACCGTTTGCCCAAGATCTCGCGGACAAGGTGTTGACCTCCTTTTCCAACGCCCTTTTACTCTTGAATCTCCACTCTCACGATTCCCAGATGCAACAACATTTTTCTTGCTTGCTTCCCGCTAAATCTGACGACTCTGAAGATAGTTGCAAGAGTACTTCCGCCGTCAAGGAACGAGCAAGAGGCTCTTATAAGAGAAGGTCTCCACTGTCATCATATTCTCTAATCTTAACTCCCTAATTGCATACAGTTGGTTTGGTTCAGTTTTGGAAATGAATCTTAGTTTACTCACGATACCCGTTTCTGGCTTCCAGGAGAACATCGCAAACATCGGAGATAGACTCCGAAACTCCGATTGATGATGGCCACGCGTGGAGAAAGTATGGTCAAAAGAATATAATGAATGCTCCATACCCAAGGTAAAAAAATACCCTTACTAACATGTTTCCAGCTCTGTAGGACTTCGTTTTTCGATTCTAATTTTCCCGCCCATGTGTCACCCACAAATCCATTCTGTTTTTAAAGGAAACGGTGATTGATCGATCCCGAATAAGAAAGATCGACTATCCTTTTTTGTCATTTTTACTACTACTATTCATTTTGAAATTTTCGTCTATGATCTGATGTCTGATTGGCTGACATGTCTCAAACATCACATGATCTCGTTTCTCATGTCTGGCACGACAGTCACACATACTTCCAATTTCAAACATTATACTGTTGGTGTTATGTGTGTCAGATCACAAATCCTGGTCTTGAAGAAAAAGAACCTACTCCTTGATTTCCTAGTTGTGATCCAAATTTGAACTGTGTGGATGCAGGAACTACTTCAGGTGCAGTCATAGGTTTGATCAGGGATGCCAAGCAACCAAACAGGTGCAGAGAATTCAAGAGAAGCCTGAGCTGTACAGGACAACCTATCACGGCCATCACACCTGCAGCAGAAACTCGCTGAACAGCGACATCATTTTGGATGCTAATTCTCCTTCTCGCCCTTCCATATTTATCAGTTTTGACAATAACCTCCCTGCCAAACAAGCCTTCTTCTCGTCATCCTCGTCCTCATCTCTTCCCACGACCAAAACGCAGTGTAAGGAAGAAATTCCCTCGTCTTCATCGGAGGATTACCTACTCTCCCCGGAATCGAGCCACGAGGATCCCATTTCTGATATGCTGTACGGCGATCTGGTCTTTGGGCCTGAGCCCTTCGACTTTTGATGTATCGGTTTGCTTTTCGACATGTAAAGTTGGTTTTAATTCGTGAGGGTAGTCGTATCAGCAAGATAACAGAGCCCGAGCTTCTTCAGACAGAGCTCTGAGCTTTGAACTGTAAATTATAATCTGTACTGGCTTTTGATTTTTGACTGGTTGGGTGTAATAAGAATTTTTCAACGATCTATTCCAGATCGATAGGCTTTAGATTTAGACTGTATCGAGTTTGAGTTGGTCGCAGAAAGCGGAGCATATGCTGCAGGGTGAACGGGATTGATACAATGTAGTAAAGAAGGACCGGGGTTTTCAACGAGTGATTGATATGGGTGAAGAACAGTTATTAATAAGCACGTCTGTTCTTTGTATATGTATACAAGGGATTAAGTAACAGTGGTTGGTGGGTGAAGGGTAAAAATACAGAGAAGAGAAATGGTATACGGCCTAAGAGGTTTTGGGTGAATATTAGATAAAGGAAAGTGAGAGTGAGGTTGGGATAAACGTGTAATGACGACAATGGATTTCACCAAGGGAAGAAGTTAGACCATAGTTGAAGTGGGTGGTGGGCTCGTCTGTCTCCCTCTGCACGAGATGCTTTGAAATTTCTCGTTCCGGAGAGAACACCTTCACGGCTTCATATCATATCATTATTATTATTATTATTATTATAAAAAACATTTCCCAGCAATGTTACCTTTAATAAGCAAAAGTTCAGTTTTTTGGCCAAGGCAATCAACGGGGGATTAGGCTTTGCTCTTGGGATGGGAGGGTCCGCTGCATCAGCACAAAATCTGGACCTAAAACAATATAAAAAATTTTAAATTTAAATAGTATATTAATGATCCAAATATAATATTTAAATTTTTTATAAATTGACTGTCCAAACATATATATACTTTGAACAATGTATATTTAATATTAAAAAAATTTATAAATTGATTATTTAGAACTAGATATACTTTGAATTGTGCAGATTTCTACTAACAAATTTTTTTTAATAAATTATTTTTTAAGTAATTACAAGTTAAATATTTTTACATTTAATTTGAATAATTAACGTATAAAAGTTATAAAAAAATTAAATATTAAATTTGCACATTAATATTAAACGTAGACTGTCTAGACTAGTAACTATATTTATTAAAAAATTATAACTTTTTATTTTAATAAAAATAAAAAATAAAACATCAAATTAGGACTGTCCAAATTTATAAAAATAAAATTTGGATGGTACATATTTTGTGCTGATATAGCGGAGCCTCGGAGCAACAAAGCCTCAGAGGAGTAAGGTCGACTCCATCAACGGGTTCGCTCTTACTTGATTTAAATTTTAACCACACTGCCAATTCCAATGTCCAACTTCATTGTGATGGTTGTATAGGGGTCACAATTGATCATATAAACCAAAACCATAGTTTTGGTAAAAATCACCCAAACAACCCCATTTTCTCATAATAAATTGTTTGTACTAAAACCATGTCTTACTATGAGCTAAGAAGAGTAGCTTATCAGAATTGATTTCAACGTTAGCTACATCTATAAGTTGTCAAAAATTTTACCTCCCAAGCATACCCCTCCAGCGAATTTCCGATATTCTGTGGTTCAACTCCACTCCAGCTGCACCACGTCGTCCTCCCATCTCTTGCAATTGACCTACGTCTGCCATCTCTTGCAAGTTTTATAACTCCTCTAATCTCTCTATCATCCTTTGACCATTTTTGTCGTCCTCCAATTCACTCTGATATGCTCATATAAGCAAGTTTGTCATCTCTCTACTCCAATATCCTCATCCCATCTCTGTTTGCTTGTCCTTTGTCGTCTTTTATTTAAAAAGAATATATGCATTTTGATGAGTGTCGTGGGAGCGGGTGTTACAATCTACCATTTTGTTGCATCCCTAGAGGGTGAAGGGTTTTGTGTCTCTCTCTCTCTTCAGCTTTCATATTATTATTGATACATTCAACCTACTTTTTATTTTGCACATATTGTTTAGCCAATAAATTCACAAAATTTATATTATTATTATCATTATTGACATTAACATTAACATATTTTATTTATTAAATAGAGTTCAACAAATTTTAAAATATTATTTGCAATTTTATCAATATTCACATTTTTTAAAAAAATAATGTTCTTTATAGTAATTTGTACATATAAAATTGATTTTGATTAAATTATTCAAATATCTTCAATTTCATTAAAATTAAATTTAGAAAATATTATCTAAACATCATTACATTATAACATCATCAATTCTAATCAACATTAATTATATTAAATCATTTTTTTCATTTATCCAATTGGAATCTAAAGACATATACTGTCCAGCACGCTTACCAACTAGCAAGCCGCAGCTCTTCTAGTCTTGAACCACATGATCTTTACCTTATCTAACTTTGCTTCGCCCACCTTTCTTTACGGAAAAAATTAAATGAATAATGTATTTTTTAGTCCCTTACATTTTGGAGAGTTATTTAATTTTTTAAGTTTAATTTCTATCATTTCAGTCTTGAAATTTTATAAGTTATCTAAGTAGTCCTTAATCTTATAACATAAAGTAACACCGTTAAGTTATACTAACGTAACTAACGGAATGATGAGATGGCATCCATATAGACTAATAATGAGGGAAGAAAAATGTTGACTTGGATAATGAGAAAAAACATATTTAGAACAATGGAAAGCGAATTAAAAAAACAATATGTAGACTCAAACAAAGAAGAGCTTGAGCATGAAGTCTCTAAATTTACATGAAGATCTCTCGCCGTCGTCTCTCTTTGCCGGTGACTCTCCATCCATCTTCGCGTTCTCCTTCTTCTGTAAGTGGCGACCCTCCATCTCTATTTGTGACCTTCCATATTCCGCACTCTCTATCTGTCTTGTCCTAATGGGGCTTATGGGTGGAAGGCTTCCCTATAAAGGAATGGAATACTCATGAAATGAAAAAAGAGGTTAAAGTGCATTTTTACCTCTCTATGTTCCTTTAAGATGTGCTAAGTCCCCTATACGAATAAGTAGGGCATTTTTTTTTCCTAAACCATTTTTAAGGGAACAAAAATTCCCCTCTATTAGTGATTCATTAATGGAAGGGAATTTTTGCTCCCCTGAAAAATAATTTAGGGGGGAAAATTTTTCACTTACTAGTGCTGGGCGCTAAGCACTTTTCGAAGAAAAATATAAAAAAAAATGCACTTTAATCTCCTAAAATATACAAATGATAATGAAATCTCATAAAATATCATGGTTCTTAGTCTCTTGGATCAAAAGAAACATTTCTTTTCCAACTAGCATTCCTCCTCGCCTTAGAATGGGTTCTTATTAATGAGTAAGGGACTTTTTAATTTGACTCAAATATATGAGTGTTTGAATATTTGTGAGGACTAGTTGGTAGATCTTCATGATATTTTTGTAGCTCCCTCCCTTCTCCTTTTCTAATTTTTGCCTTTTTAATTTTTAAAGTATGTTAGGGAGAGTCCTTTGATTGTTTCTCCTCTTTTTGTGTCACTTGTATATTACATAAAGATTTCTCAAAAATAAGAAGACTAGTAGTTTTAGCAAATTTAAATATTAATTCTCCCTTAAACACATTAATTATGGTACCTTCAGTGGTTAAAAATGATCTTCCTAATATAAATGAAACATTCCAATCATCCTTAATGTTTAAAATGATAAAATCTGCAGGAATATAAAGTTTACCAATTTTCACTTTAACATTCTCAACTAAGCCTAGTAGATATCTGAGTAATCCATTTGTGAGTTGGAGAGTCATATTAGTCATCTTGATATTTATTATCCAAGTTTCCTACATAAATAATAAGGTATTAAGTTAATACTAGCACATAAATCACATAAAAAAATTTCAATAATATTAGAACTACTATCATGAGGAATAATGAAACTCTCTAGATCTTTCAATTTAGGTGGTTGTTTTTTTTTTCTATACAATGACTTTGCACTTCTTTGTAAGTGTCACCTTAGCATATTCTTCCAGTTGTTTCTTGTTTGAAACCAACTCCTTGACGTATTTGGCATAAGTATGTATCTTTTTTATTGCCTCTATAAAAGGAGTATTGATTTGAATTTTTTTAAACATCTCAATAAATCTCAGAAAGTCTAAACCTGGATCTTTTTTTAAAGGCACCCATGATATGAAATGAGGGGTATATAAGGTTTGACTTTAAAGGGAGAATGACTGCTTTGAGTTGTATTATTAACTCTAGGTACCTCAATTACCTCATCATCTTTATTTTTTTTGTTCGCTTACCTTTTTAATATCTTTTTAGCCCTGTTTTCAACCTCTTGAAGTTCTTTACCATTCCTTAGGGTGATTGCCATAATTTGGAAGTTTACTTTGACTCTTTTTGATGAGTAAGTTAGCCAAATTGCTTATTTGAGTCTCCATATTACTCAAAAAATTGCCTATTTCCAATTCCACATTCTTTATAAAAGTTTGAGTTGAAGCAACTGCTTGTTTTAGTTGGTCAATCTCTTAATTCATGCTCTTTATGCTATTCATTTGGTAAGTCATTAATTATTCATAACATTATAGGTAAGCTATAATTAATAATAGTTAGTATTTTACATTTAATAATAACAAATATTTATAACTTTACAATCATATACTTGAATGTTTTCCCAAATATGTTCTTTCACATATTCCAGCACATCAAGCCAATCTTCAAACAAGATACTAGGCTTGTTACATGATAGGAGCCCAAGGTAGTTGAAAAACTTGGCCTTATTTGGCCTTTGCGATTTCCACCACTAATCAAACTGGATTGGTAATCTGTGGCCACTAGTCCTATTCAAGGTCAACTCTCTTAGTTGCATGCCTTGTCTACCCCTCCTTATTGACTGGCTTTGACTAGGATCACTATCACCACTCTAAGCAACATCTACAATCAACCAACTCTGAGTAACCTCTACATCATAGTAATGATTTGGTAGTATATTTTCTTTTAGAAACATTATTTAGAGTAACTCTAGCAACCATGTGAAGTTCTGGTCATTCTACCCAACTCTTGCCTTTAAGGTAACTAATTTTAACACTTCAGATAACAAACTAAAATTAGTACACCCTGAGTTTAAAGGCTTCTTTGCATCAGTGCACAAGTTGTCATACACATGTGCTTGTTCAAAGGCTTCTTTCCTAACATTATAGATCATGTCCTTTAATTGATTTTCATCCATATCTACTTCATCATTAAGATTATGATCACCTTTCACATATTGAGAAGTACCACTACAATTTTTCAATCATTTATTATGCCAAATCCATACACTATAATTCTTGCAAATCCCATCGCTAATCAAGTGTTCTCTTATTTTGGCAATACTTAGTCTCCTCTCATTCAAGCAATTTACACAAGGATAATAGAACTTTCCACTATTATCAACAACATTTTTCTTAGCAAATTTCAAAAATTCCTTCACCCTATTATCAACTCACACTTATTTATCTAGCATTTATTCATCTACTATCCATATGCGACTACCTAAAGGAGAATAAAATTAATGTGTATGTTATCATTTTCAAACTATTTCAAAAATATAAATTCCTAATTAATCTAAGATTTTAAGTAATTTAAGAAGAAGAATAAATTTAAAAAAAATTTGGTAGTGTCTTCCCTAAAAATTAGACCTCTCAAAACTCTTAAAAA